TGACAACTCCTCCCTAGCCCCACACACCCCCACTGAACCCACCCACAGGTGTGAAAACACCAAAACCAAGAGCTTTCCTATCAGCAATCCTCTCTGTCAGGGTGGGGTGTGCCCTAAACCCTTTGGAAATACCAACTCCCTCTCCCTCCACCCTTCTCTTTGCCTCTTGCAGTGCCATCAAGAACATGACTGACAGCAGTGTGTACTTCAAGAGCATCGACAGCCTCCTCAAACATGCCATAGCCATGAAGGACCAGCTGAATGCTGCTCAGGGCCGCAGGTAGCCAGGGGAGGGCACACACAGGGGCTCTGGGCACATAAACCAAACCTGGTGTAAACATGCCAAGCAGTTATCTCAATGCTACGAGTGCAGATTGTGCATTCTGCTTTCCTCCTCCTTCCTGGGAAGCAAATAATCCTATTTACAAAAGGGTAAACTGGAAAAGAATCGATTTCCTTACTTGAAAAGGGAGATTTGGTTGTATGATACAGGAGATTTGTTGTCTCAGGAGTTTGAAGGGAGATGATGCAGCAGAGAGGCTGTTCTGGTGCTGTTCTCTGTGGGTTTTTTTGAGTTGAATCCCTTTAAGATAAGTGGCAGCAGAATGATGATGCATTTCTGTTTGCAGTTGAGCTGCAGCTACTAAAATATCTTGTGCCAGATTGTCTGGCTCTGGTGTATTTACCTCTCCTGAGAACAGTGTTGGCATTGGAGCCTGACTGGGGAGGAGGGAGAAAACTCCCAACTCCCTGACAAAACCACCAGAGCAAACAGAGAACCTCTGTCCCTGCAGGGTAAGCAGAACACGTGTGGTTCATACTCCATCCTGCCCCAGGTCCCTGTGGGGCAGGATCACACTCTCTGCCTCCCAGAGCATGTTTAGTGGCTTTTGGGGGGTTGTTGTGACACCCACAGGGGCTGGGTGAGCCACACTCAAAGGTCTCCTTGTCCCGGCTGCTCTCCCTGCAAGCAGCAGGAAACTTTTATTGGAGGAAACCCCTGAATTTCCACATTTTTATGGCTGCTGGATGTGATTCTCTCTCTCTTTTTACAGCACTGTTACTCCACAAGCCAAGAATGCTCCAGCCAGTTCCTGATTTCATCAAGCCTGACCATCCTCTGCTGCCTCTTCCAGCCCAGCTCTGCTCTCCAGTCACAGGGAGGAGTGAGGAACCACCTGAGATGCTCAACCTGTGGAGCTGGACAGGTTAGAGAGACCTCTCTCCCTGCCTCTCTGCTCCCACTAACAAGCTGCTGCACCTGAGAGGGCAAATCCTGCCTTTGGGGAGCACTTGTGTCCCTTCCCACAGCACAAGGGAAATGGGGTGGTTGTGTTTATCCTTTCCACTTCTTTTCAGACTGCTCTGAGGAGTTTTTCTCCAGAAAAAAAACCACCAAACTAGGTCTTGCTTTGAGTGTTTTCAAGCTGGTTGTGTGAAGATGTAATGTGGGCACACTCAGCTCTGTTCAGGAGGAATTCTGCAAGGAGAGGTTTTCATGTGTGTGCCAGGGAGTTGTTGAATTAGGTTTTAATGAGAACAATAATAAAAAGAAGAAACAAAAAAAACCAACAAGAGAGTTCTGTTTCAAACCTTCCCCTGTTGCTTTCCTCGGGCTGGGGGGTCTTGGAGCTCCACATGTTTCCAAAGGCACAGAGCAAAACAAGGCAGAGTTGGAGGCTTTCAAGTGAAAAAAAACCCAACTGTCCTGTTTGAAAAATAACAAGAAAAAGACTTTCTTCCTCCCCTTCAAGCAGTGGGAAGCAGAGCTGTGCTCACAGCTTCGGAGGTCACTGGAAAGAGGTCACAACTTCGGTGTTAATCTCTCCTGGATCCAACAGTTCTGCTGAAGAATTTCCCAAGGATACAGGGATCAAAACAGTGCTGAGCTCAGGGTGCAAAGGAAGTGTGCTCAGGTGTCCTTCAGGAGTGGAGAGGGAATCTCTGTGAATCCCTGAAAGGCTTCTATGGTTGCTGAATGCTAAGGAATTGGGGAAGAGCCTCAACCAGGGCACACAGGTAATCCCCAGAGAGGTTTCTCTGGCACTGAGCAGATCCAGATGCTGCTCCAGCACAGCCCCTTCCCTGCTGAGAGCTTTAGGTGGCCCTGCTACCCCAGACCTGCTCTCTGCCACCCCAAAAACACCTTCTGACACCTCAGATCCTCTCTCTGCCACCCCAGATCCTCTCTTTGCCACCTCAAATCCTCTCTCTGCCACCCCAGACCTGCTCTTTGCCACCCCAAAACCACCTTCTGCCACCCCAAACCTCCTCTCTGCAGCCTGAGGATTCCTCTGGTTCCATCTCACTTGCTCCTCCATCATCTCCCTCAGTTTCCAACACTGAGGGCTGGGGGAAGCTTCTCCAAAACCACCTGGTGTAGTGGTGAGGATGAGGAGGAAGGAGGAAGGAGGGAGGCAGGGGAAGGGAGGGAGGCACAGGCAGCCAGAGAAAGCAGCTGGCATGTGCTGGAGAAGGAAGGAGGATGTCTGCTCACAGACACAATCCACTTGCTGCTCCTCACCCACATCTTCCACATCCTTCACTGCAGCTGGGACAGCCCTGGGGGGCCCTAGAAGGGTTGGAGGCTCTGGGCAGACACCTGAAGGCTTTGGGCTTTGAACAAAGGTGATGTTTATCCAGGAGAAGAAGAAAAACCATCAGGCAGGAGAGTGGAGAAGCAGCTGCTCCACGAGACAACCTGTGTTGGCTTGGCCGTGGCTCCTGGGGTGAGACAGACTCAGGAGGTCACACCAGTGTGGAGTCCTTGCCTGTGGCTACAGTTTTCCTTGCCATCACATTCCTCATCTCCTGTGTGATGATGTTCCAGGGCTTCCCCTGTGCCTGCAGCAGGGAGGACTCAGCTGACAGCGTCCGGTGCGCGCGGGGCAGGTCGGAGCGCGGCCCAGGGCTCCCCGACGACCCCAGGTTGCTGCTAGCTGCAGAGCCCAGAAAAGCAGGGAAGGAGAATTCCCTGTGGATCTCAGGCCGGGGCCGGGGCGTGGCTGTGCCCTTGTTGTTGAGGTCACTGGAGGAGGATTCCCCGTGCTGGGCAGAGTCGTTCTCGTACAGCGCGTGCGGCGCCTCGGAGCGGCGCGAGGCCTGCGCCACGCGGAGCAGGGAGTGGGTCACTGTCAGCAGCAGGACCACGATGCCAGAGGACAGGATACAGGCACTGGCAATTCCAGCCTCCAGCTCGAACAGCAGCAGCATGTAGATGGCCAGAGCTGGAGGGAAAGGGAGCACAGAGCACCGTGAGGAGCCATGTGTGCTGAAGTGATGTATTTGCAGCATCACTGAGGTTGGAAGAGACCTCTAAGATCATCCACTGACCCATCACCAGTTTGTCAACTAGAGCAGAGCACTGAGTGCCATGTCCAGCTGTTCCTTGGACACCTCCAGGAGCCTCCACCACCTCCCTGGGTAACCCTCCTAATGTCCAGCCTGAACCTCCCCTGAATCACTGAGGTTGGGAAAGACCTCCAAGAGCATCAAGTCCAACCTTTGACTGAACACTACCACATCAACCAGACTAGAGCACTGAGTGCCACGTCCTGTCATTCCTTGGACACCTCCAGGGATGGTGACTCCACCTCCTCCCTGGGCAGCTCCAATGCCTGACAGTACTTTCCTTGAGGAAATTCCTCCTGATGTCCAGCCTAAACCTTCCCTGGCACAGCTTGAGGCTGTTCCCTGAATCAGAACCTGATCCCACCTGGCTGTTCCTCCTGTCAGGGAGTTGGAGAGAGCAACAAGATTCCCCTGAACCTCCTTTTCTCCAGGCTGAGCCCCCACACCTCCCTCAACCTCTCCTTGTGCTCCAGCCCCTTCCCCATCTCCATTCCCTTTGCTGGACACACTCAGCCCCTGCAGAATTCAGGCCCCTGCTGAA